CAGATGTTATTCCTACCACATGCATATTAGTGTGGATCCACAGTTAAAACAAGGCTCTACAGCTGGTGTAGGCTACATGCTAGTAGGTCTGACCCTTGGCCCTTATCATCTAGCAGATCCAGTGGTGCCCAGAATGTTTGGGGTAAATAAGGATGCTACATGGAGCCTGTGGCAAGCCCTGATAGGAGAGTCACAGTGGAGGCTGCTAGGATGTAGGACATACCATAAAACAGCAACCAATATATACAGCTGTTTCTTCCACTGCCATGATTTGCAAGTCTGAGAACACAGGAGTAGAAATAAAGGTGGTGTCTCTCATAATTACACCTGGCCTATTGCAGCAGGTTTACTCCCCATATCTGCAACTCTGATCTCTAATAGATTAGAAGTTTTAGTTTCCTACGAAGAAACACTTCCAGTATGAGATGAAACAATGGTTCCACTGAATTTGAAGCCACTCTTAGCTCCTGGAGCCACTCAAAAAAGGTGATTATGTTGTTCCTGCTACAGAGTGAGAACAGAGAGGAATATGGATGATACTCAAGGATCCCCTAAGGTACCTTCTTATGCTACAATCCTCAGAGGGTACATGACAGAACATTGCAACCCTATAAAGGACTACCAAGGGCTCAGACTCCTCAGGAATGAAGGACTGAGCCTCCCCAGTGGGTAAAGAAAAGGGAAGGTGGAATTGATACAGGAGTCATAAATCACAGGACCACCTCATGGCCACGTGCAGAAATGAGAACTGTACCTTCTATTTGTATTTCCCTGCTCATTATCTTTCTTTTTAAAATTTTTCTCTCACCTCTTCTTTCTTTAGTATTATAAAAAGGATAGAGTAGTGGTGGTGAATTCACCATTTAGATCATGGAATTGTACAATATCAAGTTGGGATAATGGAAGAACTAGAGAAAGAAGAGATATCACTAAGAGAAATTGAACTATAAACAGAGACCCCATGACCTCACCTCTGACTATGGTAGCTGGAAATGTTTATATGTGTTGCCTCTCTCTGGGTAGTTTCTGGTTGTATGTGGAGCAATTAAATTATATCACAAGGGAGCATTTCTAGAATCATATGAATGAGAGAATTGTGTTTATACATGCTGGGAATAAATGGAGTGTAAGGTAATTATTGTCTATATTACTTTTCCAAATACCTAACATTCCCTCTTTGGGGGAACTGCTGAAAATCACAGGGATTTGCTTTTGCAGACCGCAAGAGTACCTGGAGGAGAAATACAGGTGACAGACAGACATTAGTACCCAGTAAAGCCCCAAATATTAGATATCCTTACTAGTCTTGGAGCCTCCACCTTTTAAGACTTTGGTTACTTTACCCAGAATCATTCAGATTCTTTGGTTCAACAAAATTTGGCTTATGAACCTGATCTCTATGTTCCCAAGCATTTTTCAGGAAGGGTTTGAAGTGAAGCAGTTGGATTTTCAGTAAAAATACCGAAATTGGGAACTCGTGGAAAGCCATGCTTTGAAAGACAGGATGTTTACAACTCTCTGACCACTCCCACCCCTATACGGGAAGATGAGGATTCTAGAGACATTCTCTGAGTTACTGAAGAAAGAGGTCAATGCCAGTAGTCATTCAGGTGACCAGAACCTGAGTCTGGAGGCAGTCACAAAACTGTGCCCAAGAAAGAGGTCAAGGGTGACAACAGAAAGCTCAGGCTGTAGACTGGTCTGAGGGAAGTCCAGGGCTTGGATCCTGCATCTCTGCCTGTAACGTTAAAAGTCTGGTCATATCAGGAGGGGATCTGGAGGAAAGGAAAGAGGAAATGATAAAGAATCAAGGTAGAACAAGAATTCTTTAATCTGGCAAGTAAGAGAGGAGCTCCTCCCATTTGGTGCTTTCACAGAATTGTACCTTTAGGAAAGTCGGAGTTAAAGGATATTTTCTGTTGCTCTTAGGTGTGTTAGCAGTGCTCAAGAGAATTGCACCTAATTCTACAATTAAGACCATGCCAACAGTTGCCAGAGATATTCAGCTCATGAAGGCCTGACAAGGTTGATAAATCTGAGGACCCTGTAGTGTCACTGGCTGTCTTGCCTTTTTTTGGGGGGGCGGGGGGAGGCTGGTGCTGTAGGATGAGAGAAATTACACCTGAAGTGAATTAGAGGAAATGATTTGAAAAGTGAAACATAAAACCAAAAGCCTGTGCCGTTTGCAAGTTAAAATTTTAAACTGTAACTTTTTGGAACTGTGTATATTTGAACTTTCTCTGTTAATGGGCAAAAAGCTGTGTTTCTGAGAAGAAAGTGATATTTAATTATTTACAATTTCCACAAACCAATTTGCTTTTGAGTACTTGTTATAAAGAATACTAAGAATACTTTTGGGCCGGGCATGGTGGCTCACACCTGTAATCCTAGCACTCTGGGAGGCCGAGGCGGGCGAATCATTTGAGCTCAGGAGTTGGAGACCAGCCTGAGCAAGAGCGAGACCCTGTCTCTACTAAAAAAATAGAAAGAAATTAGCTGGACAACTAAAACTATATAGAAAAAATTAGCCGGGCATGGTGGCGCATGCCTGTAGTCCCAGCTACTTGGGAGGCTGAGGCAGGAGGATTGCTTGAGCCCAGGAGTTTGAGGTTGCTGTGAGCTAGGCTGACGCCACGGCACCCCTAGCCCAGGCAACAGAGTGACACTCTGTCTCAAAAAAAAAAAAAAGAATACTTTTGTGTTCCCACTTATATATAAGCTAAAAATTTTGATCAGAGAGTGGAAAGATAAATGACAGAGACTGGGAAGGGTGGGGTGGGGGAAGGCAGAGGATGAAGAGAAGTGGGTTAAAGGGTACAAACATACAGTTAGATGGAAGAGTGAGGCTGCAGGAATGGAGTGCTTAGCCGTGGTTTCCCAAATTCCAGCATCCATGGCAGCTACTTGGATCATGAATTTTACAAGAAAACTTTAAAGGATGCCTCACAGTTGCTTAAATAGTAAATATATGATTAAAAGTTAATCATACAATGAATGTCTCACATTAGTAGGTAGGAAGAATAATATTATGTGCAATATTTTATCACTCTGCCACTATACTTCTCTGTGTTTGTCTCCTCTCCTGAAAATTGTGGATAATAATCATTTCTATTTCAGGGTTGTTGGGAGGATTAAATGAAATAATGTATATAAAATGCTTAGAATATTGCATGGCATATTGTAAGTGTGCAATGTTTCCAATTATTATTTTTCTTTATAACTAAGTTGAGTATATGAATGTATGCATGCAATATATATCTATTACTCTCTAGCTCAATCACTTGAGCCATTGGCCAGGTGCTTCACATCTATTAAATTCATTCTGCATGGGCAAAATATAATTCCTTATCATTTTTTAATGGCCACATAGTATTCCATCATATAGATGTACTATTTTTATTTAACCAAGCACTTACTGTTGGACATAGAGTTTATTGCCACTGTTTTGTTATTATGATCAACACCAAAATGTAAGAGCCTTGTATAAACACCATCGGGCCCTTGTCCAATTTTTAAGTTTTGAAAATCAATCACATCGTTATTGTTTTGTTTTTATCTTAACTATGACATTCTCCAGATTTGCTCATGCAAAGTTTCATAGTGTTAGGAAGCTCTGGGCTATTTGAAGACTACTGGTCATTTTTAGTTTAAAAAAATTTCCATATGGCCTATGGTCTGCTTGGAAAACAAGGGGTTTTTTTAAATATATTTTTTTTCTATTTTTAGTAGAGACGGGGTCTCGCTCTTGCTCAGGCTGGTTTCGAACTCCTGAGCTCAAACAATCCGCCCGCCTCGGCCTCCCAGAGAGCTAGGATTACAGGCGTGAGCCACCACGCCCGGCCAAGGGGTTTATATAGTCAAAGAAATCATATTTTGTGTGATCATTCAGGAATATTTTAGTATATACATATACTATTGCAGAAAGATTGGAAAGCATGCGTTTTAACTCAGAATCTACCTGACCTCAAGTGTCACTCCCAACCCTCCCCAAATTTCCTAGATGCAGTAAATTCATTTTAATAAGTTTTAATGTTTAATCAAAGCAATACATGTGTATAGTTTAAAAAAATAAAATAGAACAAAAACTACCTATAATGAAAAGCAATAAATCTCTGTCCATCCTTCTCAACTCTTAGTTCCCCAACCCAGAGGCAAAAACTTTTACAAGTATCTGTTTAGCGATTATCTCCCTTTTTCTTAATTATATGATTTTATTACTATTTCTTGACTTGATGACATGAGGCATTTTCTGCTGACTTCCTGGCTCTCCTCCCCCCTGAATATAGCCTTATTACTATTTCTAACTCTTCTGCTGGCTACCTGGTTCACTGAATGGCAAAGTTGAATGCTATGATTGGATTTCCTCATCTGTGACTCCAGAGTCTTGATCTTGGTACCAATGTTCAAATTCCCTTTCTCAGATTGCTGGCAACTGTTCAAAACCATGCCACATCTGAGGTTGCTTCATATTTGAAGCATGAGGGTTTTGTACGGTTTGAAATGTTTGTTTTTCCCCGTAGTTTCTGTTTGTCATTGTTTCTTCTCTTGGGATGAAGAAATGTGTGTCTTCCAGATCATGTTATTAATTTCCTCCAGCTTCTTATTCAATCAGTCTATTGCTTAGAATTCATTCCATTCAGTTGGAAGTCTATTCCCTTCTATTCTCATTGGGAAGATTGTCTGCTCTCTGGACCATTCCTGTAGTTTCTTTCCTTAAGTTTTTAGTTACCTTTACGTTTTTTTTCTTAATGCATCCTGCGCCCGTTGTCGTTTCCCAAAGTTTGTGCTGTTTTTTGTTTTATGGACGCAAGAACTTCTCTGAGGATTTTCAAATTTTTAAGTTCTTTTCTGTTCCTTGAATTATTTATTTCCTTGGGAGTCAACTTTTCGTTTTATCTTAGGCTTTTTCGGTTATGTTGCAGGCTTTCTGCAAATGCTGATTTTTTTTTTTAGCCGCCCATTTATAATAAAAGATGAGGCAGTGGAAAGACTGGCAAGTCTGCAAGTGCCATCAGAGGTGATCGCTTTGCTCTAGGGTGGGCGAGCTGCTGGATAGAAGTCAGCCATCCTTTCACAGGGTTCCCCAGATACCACAAAGTGAGTGGCTCTAAATATGTACCTGCAGGCGGACGTTGAGTATCACCGAGGCCACGATGTAGAAGTAGGGGAAGTTCATGCGCAGCCGCCAGGCCAGGTCGAAGAAGGTGAGCAGCGTGCGCGTGAGCCCCTTGCAGAAGGCGCGGTACGAGCCGCCGGTCGCGGCCGAGCGCGACAGCCGCACCGCCAGGCCAGACAAGGCCACCGCCGTCATGGGCCTGATGTCGCCTCCCATATAGTGCCCAGAGCCCAAAGCCTCCAGCAGGCTCCGCGAACCCAGCGACTGTGGGACAGAGGGACGGACGCCGGGGAATAGGGGCGGGAGGCCGCCTGGGGACCGCAGATACGAGCTGGGCTGCAAGGCGGACGCCCTCCTTCCTAGGAAGGGCTCTGGCCCCGGCGGTCGCTGGCGCTCTGCCCGGCCCCGCCACGCCCCCCACCACCCCTGCCTCACAAGGTCCGCGCTTCCCAGAGGCAGCTTAGCTTGGCTGCCACCAGGGCCGGGTGGTCGGACCCCAGGGGAGTGTGGCGAGAGAGAGCCCTGGACAATGGGCGGGTCACACGCTGATGTGAGAGACCCAGCTTCCTGACCAAGGCCATTCTTTTTTCTTTTTTTTAATTTTTAACTTTTTAAAAATTTTTAAGTTTTTAAATTTTAACAGAAGAAAAACAAAACTTTCTCAAAACGTTAGAAGATGGCCTTCATAAGCATGATCTTGAGCAACTCAGAGGCGTGAACCCATTTCCTGTTGCCCCAAATCCGTTTAGGAACATTTTCAATCTTCCCTTTGAGCTAGTACAAATATACAAAACCCACAGGTGTTCTGGACTTTGAAATGTGTGCATTCTGTTGCAATAATTCAAGTGACACTTTTGTTTGTGTTTTAGATCTTTAGTATTCTTCTAATTGGAAAAATTATTCAAACAAGTTTTTAGAAATTTTCAAAGCAGAAACATGTAAAACAATGGAAAGCAAATTCCCTATGTAGCTTCACATTCCCCATCCCACCCCCGCCACGAACTACTATTATATTTATTGTATATACTTCCAGACATTATGTGTTGGTATATTGCTCTTACCATATCAATAATATATGCCTACCTCACTCTCTTTGATGACCGAATGTTATGCAATATATATGTTGACTAATAATGTTCTATAATTTATTTACCCAGACCTTTATTGATGGACATTCTGAATGTTTCCAGTTTAACCTATGCCAAAAATTGTTGCAATTAACACCATTGTACAAATGAATTTACAAGGGGCAGAAGAGTATGGATAATATGGCCCAGTCTCTATTTATAAAAATAATTACATATACATATACATAGACATTTAGTGTTCAAAATCAAAAGGTTTTCCTAATACCTGTGGTCAGTCAAAAAATTTTAGAGACCAGGGTCCATATAACATCAAGTGTTAACTGTCTTAAGTTCTTTTTTGCCAATTTGATGGGCAATCATTACATTTCATTATTCTTGAGTTTGCATTCATTTAATTTTCAGTGCAGTTGAGTAACTTTTCTAAATTTCTTAATTTTCCAATATTGTTTTTCAGATTTCTTGGAAAACATTAAAATGTTATACATTATGAGAAAAGTAAAATGTAGGCTCATACTCCCTAGAAAAACTATTAACAGATTGGTATATGTTTTTATTAATTATTTGCATATATTAAAAAGCACAGACATATATACATACAAATCATAAAACAAAATGGAATCATACAAACATGTGCCCCAACCATTGCTTTTAAACATAATGATATATCTTTCCATGTGGATACCTTATTGGCTGTGCATTATTCCTTATGGATGGCCAAAAATTAACTGATCTGATGGATATTCGGATGGTTTCAAATCTTTCACAATCATAAATAATGCTGAGATTAATATTCCTGCATGTACATCTTTGTACACTTTTCTGATATTTCACAAAGTTACATTCCTAGAGGTGGAATTCTTGGGTCAAAAAGTTTTCATCTGAGGATTTTCATTTATAGTGTCAAACTACCTTCCACAAAACTTGTGCTAATATATTCATGAACATACCCTCAGCAGTTTCTATCAGTGAGCATCAACATTGTTTTAAATCTTTGCCATTTTGATAGGTGAAAAAGGTATCTCATTTTTATTTGAATTTGCATGTTTTGATTATTAGCAAGGTTCAACATCACTTCTAGTGTACATATCTTTGCACATTTGTATGAAAGGAATTTCTCTGTCAAAAGTTTTGCAATCTTAAAGTTAAGAGCTATTTCCAGTTCCTGTGTAAATAGGTTCTAGTCCCTTGGGCAATGTATAAGGCTGTCCATTTCTCCACACCCTCAACCATATTATTATGTATTATTTTATTATCACTAATCTAAAAGAAAATCATTATTCTAATTATTTTAATTTACTTATATTTGATTTCTATTGTGGCTAAATATTATGTTTTTTTGGTCACTTAATGTAGTGGCATCAAAAGGAAGGAGGGCCAGGCAGGTGGGATGACTGGCCACCAGGCAGAGGGCTTACAAATAATGTGCACTATAAAGGACCCTGGAGACCTCAGGGGTGGTGGCTGCAATAGCCAGGAAGAGAAGAGTTAGGCAGCCTTCCTCTCTTCTCCCTCCATATCTTCCTGCCCCTCAGGCTATCCGGGCTGCGGCCCTTTTGCACATTTCTATATTAAAATGTTTGCCTAAGGCAGATAGAACAGCATAAGCAACCTAAAATTGATAAAATCCCAACCATAGCCCTGGGAGAAACATAGAGTGGTCAAAATGGCCTAATGTAATGCATTAAGCAAAGGAAATGCATCCTTCTCCCTCACACTACACACCAAATATAAAATAGTAGTAATAGGCCAAAGCTATTGTCTTTGGGAAATTATACAAGTCTTTTTCTGGCTCTTCTTTCCCACAGTAGAGTGCATATACCTTGAGTCTTCTGTCTGAACCACTCACTCTTAATATATATGGGAGGAATATAGTACATATATATATATATAAGTTTTTACACTGTTACATTTATCTAGAGATAGGAGATTAAAATGTAATTTGAGGCTTTTGTGATACAAGACACTGAATTGAATATAAGCATTGACCTCCACTAAACAAATAGAAACAATTATAAAGAAATATAAAGTAAATTCATTTATAAAAGTAGTACATGGGGTGAGAATAGTGGACCAAAGAGTTTGATAAATTCCTGGAAAGAATGCTGATGGGATCAAACTGAAGGATAAATCAGAGTAAGGGCACTGCAGCCCAACAAATCTCAGGAAATGGCTGCAGCAGAAGTGGAAGCCATTTTCATGGAAGAACCCCTGCTCTCCAGCTCTAGAGAGTGGAAGTGGGAAGATGACATCAAATGAGATGATCATTTGAAGAGCTGTTTGAAAAAGGGCTGAATAAGTTGGGTTCCACTTCCACCACCTTCCCTTGCCCCCCGTAGAGGAGTGTGTCTGTCTCCTGGATGAAAATGGACAGTATTTCTGTAAGGAAATTGAGTGATGTGTCTGAAAAGAACTTGGGACTCCAGAATGGGGGAAGCAATCTTGGTGCCTGTGGTGGAGTACAAAACTTACCACAAAAGTTTCCCCTCCCTGAATCTATAACTTTGCATTGACATCACAGATCCTTACATCGAGAGGTGGTCTATTTCTTTTTTCTTGGATCTGCTATGTGGCTTGCTTTGTCAACAGGACATTGGCAAAAAATGGTGCAAGCAAAAGCTGGAAAAGTACTTATGCATTGGGGCTTGCTAGTCTCAGAAATCCGCCACAACTATGTGAACAAACAGGATGATGAGAGATACATGCTCCAGTCATCTCTTTTGTCCAAACTCATGACCAAACAACCCCTATATTAGACCACCAGCAGCAGCTGACCACAGACATATGAGTGAGTTCAGTTGACCCAAGCAGAAGACTAGTCCGGCTGAGCCTAGCCCAAACTGCCAACTCCCAACTATCGTTCACTAAATACATGGTTGTTGATTTAAGCCTCTAAACTTTAAGTGGTCTGTTTTATATCAAAAACTAACTAATAACCATACCCCAGAATAGAGCTATAGAGTAGAGTGGCAATCAAAATGATTTGACTCACAATGATCTCTGGTGGTGAAGAACTGATCATAGGAACCCTAGGACTGAAAGAGAAGTTGGATCCACTTAAAAGAATTTTGTCAAATAGAAAGTTGGGTTGCTGTGATAGAGTATTAGAGCCTCTCAGTTCATATACCCAGAGTACCTTGAGGAAGGGTGCTATGGTAACATTATAATTATGTAACTGTAAATCTTCCTAGCTATTCCCAAAGGATCTGCAGCCATTTACCAAGGTAACTCTTCAGAGGGGAAATAAAAATCCATATACTCTTCAGGGATTATTGGAAAATGGCTCTGAGCTGACACTAATCCTGGGAAATCAGAGTAATACTATTGCCCACAGTCAAGAGTGAGGACTTATGAAGGTCAAATGATAAATGGAGTTTTGGCCCAAGTCCAACTCACAGTGGGCCCAGTGGGCCTATAAATTCACTCTGGTAATTTTCCCAGTTGCCGGATTTACAGTTGTAATAGATATAACCAGAAAAACACCCCAGCTGGCTCCCTGACCTGCAGAGTGAGAATTTTTATGATAGGAAGGGCCAGGTGGAAGCCTGGAACGTACTCTACCTTCTAATTATAGCAGTAATAGCAAACAAATACCTAGCACTTATTATGTGCCAGACACTCTTCTAAGCACTTTACATATGTTAACACATTATTCTTCAAAACAGCACTACAAGGTAGGTACTATTTTTGCACACATTTTACAGAAAAGAAAATTAAGGCATTGAAAGCTTAAGTAACTTTCCCACAATCACCCATTAGTAATTGGTAAAACTGAAATTTAAACTAGAACCTGGCCCCAGAGACCATGCTCATAACCACTATACTGTACTCTCAAGATTGTAAACCAAAATCAATATTACATTGCATGGAGGACTCACAGAAATTAAGGCCACCATCAAAACTTTAAAAATTAAGGGATAGTGATCCCTATCACATCCTTTCTTTTTTTAGAGATGAGATCTCACTTTGTTGCCCAGGCTGGAGTGCAGTGGCATGACCATAGCACACTACAGCCTCAAACTCCTGGGCTCGAGTGATCCCCCTGCCCAGCCTCCCAAGTAGCTGGGACTACAGGTGTAGGCCACCACACCCAGCTAATTTTTGTATTTTTGGTAGAGACAGGGTCTCGCTATGTTGCCCAGGCTAGTTTCAAACTCCTGGCCTCAAGCAATCCTCCCACCTCAGCCTCCCGAGTCGCTGAGATTACAGGCATAAGCCACTGTGCCTGGTTCTCACATTCCTTTTTGATTGACCTGTTTGACTAGTGAAAAATACAATGGGATCTTGAATTAAAATTGCTATGTATGGATTGGCCTTGAGCAAGTTCTGAAGGTACAGCAA